GGATGTCACACTGCTCTTCGATCTGATGTGTTGTTTTTCTGTTTCATTTTTTGTTTGGGGCTTTTGATGACAATCCTTGTACTTGAAACAAAACCCACATACATACAAACTGAAGAAACCACTTCAAGTACTATCGAGTTTGTGACCTGATCTGAGCAGTGTTCCCACTGCATGGTCCTGGCAGCAGAGTTGATCAAACGTTGTGTGTGTGTGTGTTTTCTACTTCAGTTTTTCACACTTCGTGTTTCAAAATTCTGCTGTTGTAGGGTTTCCTAATGGCATGGCTGTGCCTTTTGGTTTGAAATGTCGTTCCTGGTTGAAACTTGTTTAGAATTGTTAAACTAGAACCAAGTGTGTCAGGCAGAGTGGTGCCTGCAGTGAGGGAGTGAAGTATGTGCTCTCAGGAGCATGGTAAACCCCAAAAGGTGCAGTGCAGTGGTTTCCAGTGTAAGCTGACATCCTGTGATGGATTAAACGTTGCAGCACAGATAATTTTTTTCAGAGAGAATAAGCAGTTGTCCAGGGCAGAGGATTAAGAGCTTAAGAGGCGGGTGGGATGCCTCAGCTCTGTGTACAGCTTCACCCCAGTGGAATGACTCTGGCCAGCAGGGCAAACCAAGGGGTCACTCTGTTGTATAAACATGGGTGTTTTTCCAAAATGCCAGCCAAATTGAATGTTTAAGGATGTAAAGATACAGCTGCTGTTTCCAAAGGGTTAGAAAGCAAGCAGTGAGTGGGGCTGCCAGAAGGCCCTGCTTTATATCATCTACTTTTGGTGGCTTAAGAACAAACATATTTTATCTTTAGCCATATAAATCTTTCTTCCCCCAAAATCCAAGAAAATCCCTTCTGCTGGTTGTTTTATAAAGAGAAGCTACTGAATGCTTTGCCTGAGCTCAGGGTCTAAGAGAGGAATCCTTTTGTATAGTCCTGCTGATGGGTCCTGTCCCAGAGTGCAGAGTCAGAGAGGGGAGAACACTGCTGGTGTGTCAGAGCCCATCTGGTGGTGAAAGGGTTGGGGCTGATTTGGTTCTTCACGTGTCTGGTGACAGCAAGGTGAGGTGGCAGCTCTGAAACCTTTGCTGACAGGAGTGTGGCTGTTGGGTTCTGACTTGTGTTCTGGATGCAGAAACAGCACCAAACCATTGCCCTGTGTAAGTGGTGTCTGTAACTACAGATCTTACAGGTCTGTGCTGTTGCCAAAACCTGCTAATGGCACAGTCGGTGCTCCAACCGTGTGAAGTCACTCGGATTGGATCGGTGGCCAAACTCTGGGAATTGCATAATTGCAGGATGAACAAGACAAATATTTTACTGGGATAATCCTCCTAGAAGGCAGAATAATTACAAATCTATTGCAGGACTTCTGGATTTGGGTCTTTACCCTGTCAAATTTGCCAGCAAGTCTTTTCTGCTCAGTTTTGTTTGGCTGAGGGGTGGATGTGTGTGTATCCTTGAGCCTTACAAGGATCTGTCTGGAGCTTGCTCATCAGACCTGTGCCCATGTTCAGATGGCACCACTGCCCCTCCTGACACAGATATTTTGCCTTCTGGGGTGGCATGAGGTCCAGTGGGGATCTCGCTGAGGGATGGGGCTGAATTTGGAGAATGCTTTGTGTAGGAATATTGTATATTTCCCTAGACTTTCCTGCAGCTGTTTTACTTGTCTTCCAGCCACAGGCAGTACTTTTTCTAGTTGCTCTTTTTGATTTAAAAGAACATCTACATAATTTTTCCAATGTCTCCTGTGTCTCTTTCTCAAAAGACAATGATGTTTTCAGTACCTCATCTTCTGGCTTCAGAGTCATATATTCTACCTCTGCAGCCTTTCCAGGAAGCAGAGAACTTTTGATTTCCTTTTGTGTGTGAGAGAAACAAGCCTCCAAAACTGCAAAAATTACTCCTTTACCCTTTCCTCTTTCTATTTGCTGTTGATTTATTCATTGTTCTGTTTGCTCTACTACCTCGTTCTCACCCTTCCAATGTTTCTGGGCCCGTTCTTTCCCTGCCCGGGTTGATACACACTTCTATCTCTGCAGTAATTTATCCATGGCACTCTTGCTGACTACCCCAATTTAAATGCTGCTAAATCATAGCTCTAGGTCTGACACCAGGTGTGTGAGCTGGTCTGTCTGCATTCAACAGAGCCTGTTAGGGTCATGAGTATCACAGGTTGTTGAATACAAGATCTGTGGTTTTTTTGGATTGCTGGTGATAAATGCAGAGTAGTTCTACAGAGCACTAACAATTCAGCTGCAATCACAAGCTTAATATCCCATGTCAACACTCAGCATAGCCAAGGTCGCAAGACTTGCCAAACAGTGTCTCTCCTGGGGAGGGTGAGGAGGACAAACCCCTTGGTCTGTCCTTGCAATGTCATGCAGAACTCTCATCCCCTAGTTAGATGAAAATTGGGGTACTTTTTATACCTTATTATCACTATTGGTCAAAGTGCTGTGGGTGGGACTGGCCAAACCTTCTGTTCTTTGTGGGTGTGTTGTACAGAATATGTATTGGTAGGTGGTGCACTTGGTTTGTACAAGGTATCAGGTAGATGGATGAGCCTGCACAGCTTCCACCTCACTCCACATTCCCCCATGATGCCATGGCAACATGGACCACAAGACCTCCATCTGGCTTCCATGTCTGCACTATGGGTCGACCACATGTTGAATTTACATCTGTGTCTGCCCTGATGTGGCTCTCTGAAATGGCAGTGATAGGTCAGGGTCTGAGGCTTTCCTTACAAACCTTCTATCAAGAACTTTTAAGGGCGAAAATTCCATGTCAAAATTGGACAGATTAAATATAGTTATCTGGTATTTGGGGACTAGGATATTGTTTTGTAATTCATTTTTAGTCCTGGGAAAATATTTCACAAGCAACATCTTCAAAGAGCTGTTGTGTATGTGAGTGTGTGTACAAACTAGTGCTGGAGGATTATCACAGATACACTGTCAGGATGAAGTAAACTGCTTTGGGACAGTTTTGCAATGAAGTGTTGTCTGCATTCAAGTTGTCAGGCTGCAGGGCAGAGGCTGGTCCTGGCTGACCTGCCTGCTGGGAGTGCATGGCTGTGTCTTCCCCTCCCAGACTTCACATGGAATCCCCACTGCTGGGACCACACTTTGCAGGAACTACCTATTGCTTAATTCCTTTGGTCCCCTGGAAAGGGGGAAACATTCTTCAGCTGGTCTTTGAAGGGCATCACCTCATCACCTGAATGTAGTTGCTTTGGGTAGTAGATTGTTTGGTGTAAAGTTCTTACAAGAGATAAGCAGTACTGTCTCTCCTAGGAGCAAATCCTATGTAAATCCATCCTTTAGTTAGAAAATGAGTGGATAGTGGAAAAGGTGGTACCTGTGCACCCTGGCAGGAGGGGCAGCATGCTCAGGGGATGTGGGTGTCCATCTGGTTGTATTTGCTGGACCCTGCACACCAGGTCTGCCATCTCCTCTCCTGCCCCTGGTGTCCCTGACTAGGCACAAACCCATGTTTCCACTGGAGTGGCTCTTTGGACTTTGCTGGGGTTGTGTGGGGAGCCCACCACCCACCTGGGAAGAGCTCAGTGTGAATTTAACACAGCAATTATTGGGCACAATTTAACAAGCCCTTGGTGATTTGCAGCTGTAAAAGGGAGACCAGGAGCTCTTGGTCTTGGTTTGCTTTAACCGTATAAGACCTAATAGGAGAGTCTTTGGTTAGGAATGTCTGCATGGAACTGATCTTCCAGTCCTAAATATTATCATTCCATTTAATTTGGTGCTTGTGAGAATTTAAACTACGAAATCCAGTCCCTAAAATGGTTCTCTTAATATGGGTTTGTATGTGCATGGGCCTCTTAGGGTGAAAAATGACAGATTTGTTCCCAGAACTAGTCTCTGAGGATGTGTCTGTGTGTGTGAACAGTTTTCTATAGAACTGATTGGGAAACAGGGTTTATCTCTGGTATTTTAGCTATTTAAAGTATTTTTATTTAAAGTAGGATAAATACCCAAAATATCCTGTCTTCTTTTCCAAAAATGTTCTCCCCTGAACAATATAAGTGGTTTTAGAATACTTGCAGTAATCCAAATATTATCATACTTACATTTCAACTTCTTAATTATCCATAAAACAAAACCTAAACCCTAAACTAACTGTTGAAAAAATAGAAGGAAGAAACCCTTGTTTCAGGAGAAAACTTCACCAAAGATGCTCTCATGCTGAATGTAATCTTGTTAATTGAGTGCTGCATTTTCAGGGTTTTCTCGTCAAACCCTTTTTTCAGTCTTAAAAAGAAAGTCCTTATATGCGTAAGGCCCTGGCTGATGGACTGTTGCCATCTCCTGCTTGTGTAGCTGCACTGCACCCTGGGCTGGCAGTGACCATGGGCTGCACAGGGCACCTGCCAGTTCCTGCCAATCTGCCTGGTGTGAGTAGTTTATTTTTTGTCCAGGCAACCTTTTCTCTAAACAAATCTGATTTAATCCCTCATGAGTCCAGGACAAAATGATCCATGTGAACATTGCTGGGTTTACAGGACTCAGCACAAACGCACCCTGGATGAGATGGTGCCAACAAGGGAGCACTGAGACACTTGGGCTGGTGGCACAGCACCATTTGGGCAGCCGGAGCCTCACACTTCCCAGGGCACACTGAGGGTCCCACAGGAGCCTGTGCCACCTTCACCTAGCACCACCCACAGGACCCTGGGGATGCTGACTCCTCTCACTTTGAGGCCAGAGTGTGCTGCCTCCTGGAGCTCCGTGTTGTTTTCTGAGCTGAGGCAGACTTAGGTTGGCTTTAAACAAACCACCCAACCAAGTTACCAGAACAGCCCCCAAACCTCCCTGCAGTGAGCTTGATCCCTGTGGGGACAGAGTTTGAGATGGATATCGGTGAGCTGAACACGTCTGCACATTCCTGAATGAGCTTCCATGGTCAGATACTCATAGAGACATTTTATTTACATGATATACAAGCACTCTCACAAACCAGCAGAGTCTCTGTGGGTGCCTTCAGACGTCGGTGTACTCGTGGTAGATGCGTACCTCGGATCTCCTGACGCTCTGGAGGGACCTGATGCTCTCACTCCTGGTTCTCATGTTGGATTTCCTGAAGAGCCTCCGTGAGAATGATCGACACATGAAAAAGTAAATGATGGGATCCAGACAGACATTGCATGCAGACAGGAACAGTGTCATTTCCTTACAGTAATACAAGATTCTATGTGCAGAGTCATCTAAAATTTTGTCCAGGTGACTAAAAGTAAAGGGTATTCGGCACAGGTGATAGGGCAGAAAGCAGGTGAAAAACACAGCCACGACCACCCTTATGCTCTGGTTGTGCTTCCGCTTGCGGCTGGACGAGCTAATGAACTGTTTGCTCGACTTGTAGATGTACCTGGATATGGCAATGTAACAGCCTATCAGTACTATCAGCACCACGACAAACATGCAGGTGTTGATGTAGATGACAGCCGAGTGCCACTTGACCCCCAGGGGAGACTTCAGCTTCAGGCAGTCATCGATGTTCCTGCGGGTGGGGTAGCCGTTGGTGAGGATCAGGTTTGGCAGTGCCAGGAAAGCCATCACCACCCACACGCAGGCTGACAGGATCTTGGTGAAGGTGATGCTGTACATCCTGGAGTCCCCGAAGGGCTTCACCACCTTCAGGTAGCGGTCGATGCTGATGAGCCCAAGGAACACGATGGTGGTGTACATGTTGGCGTAGAACAGCACCGTGGTGTAGCGGCACAGGAAGGAGTTGAAGTGCCACGGCCCCAGCTGTGAGTCCTGGATGATCTTGAACGGGAATGTCAGTGTCATGAGCAGGTCTGCAACCACGATGTTTTTGAGGTAAAATATGAAACTGGTTTTGTTCCTGATGTGGAAGAAGATCCACACTGCGAGGCCATTCAAAAAAAAGGAGGTATAGCACGGGCAGAACGATAGTGGTGAACTCGTCGTGTGTGGAGTTCCCCAGGGAGCCAACACTGGCATTGGGTGAGGTGGTGTTGTCTGGGCTGAGATGATCATCTGTGGGAATGAGGTAAAACAACAGTTTAGAGCTTGTTTCTGTTGTTTTACAAATGGGGACATTTTAGAACTGTCCTCTCCAAAATGTGATCTTTCTGGGCAGTCCAGAGGCTGCTGGGGGGAATCATGAGTCAAAGCCACATCATGAGTCAAAGCCACAGCTTGTCAGCTCTTGGCTTCCTTGACAGAATGTGACTTGTGGGCTGAGATGACATTTGATAGGAGACAGGGCTTTAGAGAGACTTCTCAGACCCTATCAAAACACTCACTTAAAACTTAGCTTGCTTATATGTGTTCAAAAATCAGAGTCTCTGGGGATGTTAAGATTTCACGTGGAAATGTTTGTGAAAAAATTTCAGACATATTAACTCTGTCATAAAACAGAGTCATAAACCACAAAATGACAGTACATTTTGTTTCATGTTGTTTACACTCTGACCTTGCCTGGTGAGGCAAACCAGGGCAGTGCTGGGCAGTGCTCAAACAGCCCATGCTGAAATGACTGATTTCTTTCAAATGCTGGTAGGAACTGACAGCAACAGGGCAAACACTTCTCAGTCGCTTACATTTCCCTTGTTATGTTACCTGGCAGTTTTCCATAGGACAAGTTGTACCCCATCCTTTGCATTGCTGTAGGTTTTCAGCCAAAATGCTCTTCAGGAGTCCCAGTGGCAGCTGTGGATCTGGGATGTGACAGAGGCTGTGTCAGCATGACCTTCTGGGGAGAAGAAATAAAATTAAACCCAAAGCAAAGCAGAAGATTTCACCTTCCTGTCCCCTGCATGGAGAGGAGCTTCCTCTGGAATTCCCAGTGAAGGGCTGAGGGCAGATCTCTGTGTACTGCACAGTGCTTCTTTACAGAAGCACAATGTTTCATCTGTAATTATGAGATATGTGTGTATAACTCCATAATGTATTCTACATATTGGGGATGAAATGGCAAGTTCTTGTCCCTTTCTCACGGTTGGAATGAAGCATGTCAGAAGGGAACACTGAAATCTGCAGAACTTCACTTGTGCCATGATGGCATCACAATGTTTGATGTTGTTCAAAGGGATTTTGCCCATACTGGTTCATTAGGCTCCGGATTGTGCTTTCCTCTACTAGTATGCAGTAATTTTTCTGTGCTTCACTTTCTGCTTGCACATTTTGATAGTAAAACCGGCCAAATGGTTCAGACCTCAGCAATTCCACCAGACCTTACTGCTCTCAAGGGACTGGAGAGGTGATGGAATTCCTGCAGCCCCCGTGCAGATCTGAACCTGTTTCAGGGGCCATCGCTGTGTAGGAGCTGTGTTGTGTGGCACTAGATGGCACCAAAGCAAGTCATTTCGTGTGAAAGTGTCGGTAAAAACTTTAATTCAGGTAATTTAACCTTTCCATCAGTCTATTTATTGCCTGGCACTGTTTGCTCTGACAGTAACAGGGTCCGTAATGAGACCATCAGGGGCATTGTAGGTATTCTGTTGTCTCTGGGTCTGAGCAGCAGTAACCCATCGTGCTTTGCTGTTGTTGAGGATTTGCAGATCTCCTTTCTGCCCAGGGGGTACAGAGATCAAAAGAATGTGTGATTTTATGAAAAGATGCATATCTATCTCCTTACACAAATCAGGTGCTTATTTCCCTGCTTTTCAGAGTTCCTTTTAAGTCTGCATAATTTCTGGTCCCTGGAAAACTCCCTGTTCTCAGGCTCTTCGGTGCCCTCCCAAGTCCTCAGTCCAGAGAAGCCAGTGAAGCATTGAATGTGTTTTGTGGGGTTTAGGGCAGAGCAAGAGGCAATTCCTGTGTCCCTGTGCTGTAACCTTGGGTCATGCTGCAGGATTGGATGGAGCTGGGGATGGATTTGTGCAGAATGGACTGCTCATGTACTGATGTTACTCTGGTGCCAAAGGGATTTGCTCTAAATCCTGTCAAAAAAAGGCTACTTTCTTTTTTCACATCTGAATCTGTTCTTTTAGGTGGATGTTGTCACTAAGAGACCATAAAAATCTAACACCTGGTAGTACCTGTGGATGTCTCTTCCTGCACAGACAGCCCCAATGCTCTCCAGAGATTCTGTCTCTTGTTTCACATCAGGAAACCGGTGGCTGTTTTGTGGTGCTGGTGGGAAAGCTCTGTGCTGCAGGAATCCCTGCCTGCCTGGCCTCTGCCTGACCCTTGTGCTGGTCATATTCCTGTCTGCATCCCGTGCTGTGCTGGCAGGAGCAGCCTGGCAGCTCTGCTGTCGGGCTCTGTTCTCCCTCCCAGTCACGGCACACGAGAGCTCTGTGGGTGATAGAGGCAGTGTCCTGGCTCCTGAGCCTGGAAAGCCATACTTGTAGTGAAACCCACACTGGCTTGCTGACTCCTGCCCAGGACACACCGGAGACCAATCATGTGTGTCCCCTGGCCAGTGAATGTGTGACCACCCTCTGATTGTCCAGGGATGTCCAAGTCACCCAGCATCCTAGGAGTTTGCACTCTGTTCCTGCAAACCAATTAGGATTGAGCCTCTGTGTGGATATCTGTATCATCTTCTTCCTGATGGTTTTAATGTTAAAAATATGTTCCAAAATGATCCCAACAAGCCTATGGGCTGGAAAAAGAAAGCAGCAAAATCTTCACAAGTGTAACCCATGACAGCTGAGCCCTGTGAGCAGCACTCTGTGCCCTGCCATGCTGGCACACCTGACCTCAGCACAGGCTTTGGTGGAGGAGAGAGACAACACCTGCTGCTGCCGACCCTCATTACATACTAAAGGCTCTTCCTGATGCTGCTGTAGCTTCAAGCTTTAAAGGCTTCACCAAACAGGTTTGTGCAGAGCTGCAAGGAAGTGCTGGCATGATGGTCCTGCTGCCAGAGCTGGCTGTGTGACAACAGTGGGATGCACAGTGAGCATCCTGTTCAGATTCCCCTGTCCAAAGGTTTTTCCACAGTTTCCTACCAAGGTCCATCAGGCTGAGGGATGCTGTGGTGGGCAGTGCACTCAGAGCAGTGTGGCTTTGTTATTTATGTGCTGGGATAGGTGAGCAAGGTTTGTGTGAGTCAGAGCTGGTGTATCCCTTTAGTCCAGAAGTTTCCATCTTTCTGATGAAGACCACTAACTATATTGCAGACTGCAGGAGTAGGAACAAAGTTATCCTATATGGAGAATTCACTGTTTTCCAAGTATTCTCTTGCAAGAGGAGATGAAGTCTCTTCTCTTCAAAGATTTTGTATGATATTTTGTGATTAGCTCATTGCCTGTGCACTCTGATAGTGCATTTTGACTTGTTTGAATGTGGTATTTCTGTGCTCAGCAGGGCAGGTTTTCCATGTCTTGTCCAGTCCTCTGAACACTATTTTAACCAGTTTCATCCTAAGCATCTGTCTCAGTCTGCCATACAAATATATTCTGCTTGGATGGTTTAAAGATGCACTGGAAGCTGCTCCTTTATTCAAGCAGCTTTGTAAACCAGAATACATTTTACTACTTGTACTTCTGCACTTGGTCAGTGGCTTTTTGTTTTCTGTCATTCCCCTAAAGGATGTCAACTGCGTTAAGTGTAAGTTAAATACATACTGTCTTAGAGATGATGTAACCTCTTGCTGCTGATGTGGACAAACTGGTTTACATGCATGACTGATGTAACCTCAGAGGAGAAATGAAATAACAGGCTTCCTGGCAGACTTCAGTGTCAGAGGGGCAGGGAATGACTGCAGAGTTTTTCTACTGACTAAGGCTTTAAGTTGCCTCCTGTTTCTCCCTGAGCTCTTTTTTCATCTCATTTACAACTTGTTAAAAATTAGAAGACTCTCTTTGTGGCCTAGACCAGCTATTCTAGGTCAAGGGGCTGCAGAGTTTTAAGTGATGGGTTTTATTTGAGTACATAACTTTTTCATGTGAGGCTTCTTGCCAGTACCTCTGCATTCATCACTGTAAGGGTTGATAAAGGACATAGTTAATGTAGCAATAGACAAGTGAGGCAGATATTAAATCTGTCTGGCTGCAATGATGTTCTTTTCTGCTACCTGTCAGAACCAAATCATGGAGCTGGTTGTAAAGATTTAGGGGGAAAAAGCATTGGTGCAGGGTAAGTGCATGTGTGCATGAAGCTGCTGCAGGCAGAGACATGGAGTTGTGTCCGTGGTCCCTGGTTTCAGCCCATTCCTGTCCTGCATCCCCTGAGCAAACCTTGCTGCTCTGCTTTTCTCTGCCTGCATCTATTTATCCTCCTCGGTGCTTTCCCTTGTTCACTGCAGACAGCCCAGTCCCAGTAACTAGGGCACTGCCACCTTTCCCTTCCTTGGAGGCCTCTGTCAAAAATGGTCCATCTCCCTTTTGGTAAAGGTGTATGTTAATGTGCCAGTAATGCACAGTGGAATAACCTGAAATTCCTGTTGGAATTGGTACCTACAGCAGTGAGTTGTGCCTCTTTGTTTTTGGCATTTTTCTAGCTAGGACATCCTCATCCTTGTCCCTGCCTGGTGTGGGATGGAAGCTCCTGGGGTGCCCCTGCCTTGGTCACACTCTGAGCAGTGCTGGAATCCCTGAGTGCCCACTCCTGTGTGCCTGTCTGAGCCCAAGAGTGGTGCCGAGCACCCTGTGTGTCAGACCCAGCTGCTTGGCATGTATTGCTGTTTCAGCAGCTGGGGAGAGGGTGAGAATAGCCCTGGGGGACTTCGTGCCCTTGGCTCTCCATGCCCATTGTCCTCAGAGCATGGCAGAGGGCGTGCGGTCAGCGTGGGCTGGTTCCCTGTGCCAGGAACATTGCCGTGCTCAACTAGCCACATTGCAGAGGGGCTGAAAGGAAAGGATTGGGGTATAACTGTCCCCAGCTGTGGCTTACAGTGCCCATCTGCTTAGTCATAGTCAGAAACAGGAACCCGCCTCTGCTCAGAAAACTGCTCGTCTGTTCCAGCATCTGGCACAAAACCCCCTTCTGGGTTTTCAGGTTCCTCCTCAAACTTCCTCTCAATTCCAGTCTAGCTCTCCTCTCACATGTCTCAGAGCAGCACAATGTTCTGTCCTGGGCAAGCTGTAGTGCAACTGGCTTCCCTCTGCCTTCAGCTGCTGGAGCAGCTTCCTGTGTCTCCAGGATCCTGTCCTGTCCCTGTCCCATCCCTGCCCTGTCCTATCCATTTGTCTTCAGGAGAAGATGGGTGAGGTGTTGGTCAGGGCACACACCTCCCCGAGCCCTGAGCTGACACCTGTGTCATGCAAAGGACTAGCTGTTCCTCTGCTCTGTGCTGGGACGTGCTGCTGACAGAGATGCTGTCCCCACACTCTGCCTAAGAGAAAAGTCACCTGTAACCTGCAGAGTCCCCACATATGGGCACTGACCATCACGGGTCAGGTTTGGTCCTCTGTCTGTGGCAGCTGCAAGGGCCACATGTGGCTCCAGTGCCTAAGCTGGACATAGCTGGTGTCAGAGCAGCCACCTAAATGTGCTCACTCAGGCTTTACCTCAGCCTCTACCTGTGCTGTACCTGAGCTCTCCCAGCCTGGCTGCACCTGTGACCCATTGTTATACAGATGCAGGAGCAGCTGCACTGGGGGGAGAAGAAAGCTGCAGTGAGCATTCAATAATACCATCTAATAGGCAAGATTCTCATTTTGGGGGGAATGTGCCTGTAAGATAACATGATTTCCTCACTTA